GCAAAGTTCTTAACCCGAGGTTCTATTTCTGGGTTAGCTTAGTCTGTAACCTGAAGCGTCTGTAACCTGAGGTACCACTGTATTATCCTTATTATTCAATAGGACGTCCTTATTTTCATCGGAGAAATGTTGGAGGGTATGTAGGATTCATGGAGGAAAAGGCTATCAGGGGTTGCCAGTCATGATGATCATATAACACTTCCAGGATCAGAAGCCTCTGAATACCAGTTGCTAGGGAACAGCAGGAAAGGGCTATTGCCCTCCTGTCCTGCCTGTGATTTGTTCAGAGGCATCCGGCTGGCTACTGTGGGAAACAGAATGTGGTACTAGGCAGGCCTTTGGTCTGATCTAGCTGGGCTTGTCTTAGTCATAAATCATATGAGTAAATCTTTAGTCATATCATTCAGAGCCCTATTCTCTCTCTCTCTCTCTCTCTCTCTCTCTCTCTCTCTCTCTGGGTTGGGAGATAACAATGAAGCATTGAAGTTGTTACCAGATATATTATATATAGGAACCCTGACCATTAGGCCCAGTCGTGACTGACTCTGGGGTTGCGCACTCATCTCGCTCTATAGGCCGAGGGAGCCGGCGTTTGTCCGCAGACAGCTTCTGGGTCATGTGGCCAGCATGACTAAGCCGCTTCTGGCGAACCAGAGCAGCACACGGAAATGCCGTTTACCTTCCCGCCGGAGCGGTACCTATTTATCTACTTGCACATGACGTGCTTTCGAACTGCTAGGTTGGCAGGAGCAGGGACCAGGCAACGGGAGCTCACTCTGTCACGGGGATTCGAACCGCCAACCTTCTGATTGGCAAGTCCTAGACTCTGTGGTTTAACCCACAGCGCCACCCGCACCCCATATATATATATATGTTTTGGCAAAAATAAGAAAACACCAGTTCACACACACACCCCAAACTGGTTTACACTTGCGTGAACTTGATGTCATTCATTACACTTACATGTGAGAAGCATCTGGTCTGGTGTGTTTCTGTTTGTGTGTGTGTGTGTGTGTGAGAGAGAGAGAGAGAGAGAGAGAATGGAATCGAACTGGAGAACATGTTCCTTGAATGCATTCCATCCCCTTTCCCATTATTTCTCGTGTCTCCTCCGCTGGGATAGGATTTGGAACCTAGGACGTATAGAGTCACTTTTGAAGAAGATTCTGTTATGGAAATAAAAATGCGTGCCTTCCAGAAGTCAAACACATCTGCCTCATGACATGACAAAGTTCAAAGCAGCCTGAGGAAGTTTATGGGAAGCAGCTGTTGGTTGTCGTGGCTAATTAAGAACAGGGCGAACTTGAGAATTTGACACAACAGGTTTACACAGTGTTATTAGGTAAAGAAAATTAATGTCTGTTTTTAATAACAGCAAGTAGCAGAGGTGGCAAAGTGTTTTGAATGACATCATACACCCAGCTGTTTTACACATCTGTAATGTGGAACATCATTCCTGTTGTATAACACTTTATCCTTGCTCTTCCACAGGCTTTGGATGAGAAGATGGGCAAACTTCCCTGAGAGATGGTTGTCTTTGTGGCTGGGTATCAGTGTGGTTAAAGTTAAACATGGATTACTTTTAGATAGTGTTCCACATCTCTCTCTCATATATATATTATATATATCTGCTAATTACTTCACTATGTTTTTGGCACTTTTGCAAGGTTCCTTGTGGTTCCAGCCAAGTTTACATCTACAAATCAAACATTTGCTACAGCTGCAAAAATGTTTTTACTTATTTATAGCATTATAATATTTTATAGCGATGAATAATGACAAGTGCATAAATCACCCGTTGATTTGTGTAATGTATATGTTTTTTTGCAGAGGACTATTTACCCGGCAATGGCACAGAAATGATAATGGCACCGGGCGTTGTGTCACTGGCTGTGGGAATCATTTAAAGTGTCTGTCAGAAACCGAAATGTGAGCTCTTGTTTAAATAAGAAGCATAGAAAACACATTTATTCAGCGTTAATATGTGATAAAGCATGCTCGTTCAGGGATGCGATGCAAGCAGTGGTAAACAGAGAACTTTCATCATAACATGCTTCAAACAAAAGTACTGGGAATGGAGAAATGGGGCAGCCACAGCCTTCCCTGTTATGTACTGAGTTGAGTAGGATCCAAAATGCAGCAGTCTGATTGGTCCTAGAACAATAGGATTCAGAATGCAGCAGTCTGATTGGTCCTAGAACAATAGGATTCAGAATGCAGCAGTCTGATTGGTCCTAGAACAATAGGATCCAGAATGCAGCAGTCTGATTGGTCCACAGGAGCCACCCAATCCAGCTCCAGGTGGAAGTGAATCCGCAACCTGATTGGCCTACAGGAGAATCCCGGAATTAGCCAATCACGTGGTGCCCATTGTGTAAATAATGTCTATAAAGCAGACATTTTGGGGGAACTTCTATTCCTCCTCACCACTATGAGCTGAATAAAGAGCATGAAATCCACTCTCAATTTCACCCAAAGTTATTGAGCTTTTTTTAGGGGAAGGATCTACCTGTCGATCGCAGCCGACTGCTTAGACATGTCTGCACTAGAGTAAAGTGTGCACAAAATAGCAAGCAAAAAATGCCTTATATTAGGGGAAACTGCATCCCAAAACATGTTTAAATTTGCACTGAAAGGGATACTCTCATTTTGACTCAAGAAAATCACCACTTTATAGTTCAAATCGGGGGGAAATAAATACAGTAAATGGGCAAAAGTACAAAGATTCACAAAAAGTTTAGGGGTGTGCATACCCCACCGTACCCCCAGAAAAAAGCACTACCTGCACCTCACATCACCCCTAGTTTTGTTAGCTGAGGGTGAAGGGAGTTGGAGCCCAATAACACTGGGAAGAGCGATAGGTTCCCCATCTCTGTTCTAAAGGATTATTTGCTGGTATTTAATAATACCATAAGGTATGCGGGTGGCACTGTGGGTTAAACCACAGAGCCTAGGACTTGCCGATCAGAAGGTCTGTGGTTCGAAACCCCACGACGGGGTGAGCTCCCGTTGCTCGGTCCCAGCTCCTGCCCACCTAGCAGTTCGAAAGCACGTCAAAGTGCAAGTAGATAAAGAGATACCACTCAAGCAGGAAGGTAAACGGCGTTTCCATGCGCTGCTCTGGTTCGCCTGAAGCGGCTTAGTCATCCTGGCCACATGACCCGGAAGCTGCACGCCGGCTCCCTCAGCCAATAAAGCGAGATGAGCGCCACAACCCCAGAGTCGGCCACGACTGGACCTAATGGTCAGGGGTCCCTTTACCTTTACCTTAATAATACCATGTGTGCCCCAGGGCCCTGTGGTGTTTATGGAGTGAGCATAAAAACATGGCACTCTGGAAACGTTCTCATCCTGCTATGGCAAAAACGTGAAAGGGATCGCTTTGCCTGTGTTACTTTCTCTGCTCATAACCTCTGCGATTCCAAACATGAGCTCCCACACAAAGAGATACTGGTAGAGCAGTGTATTTTTAAAATGCAACATTGCATATTCCAAAGGATGGCAGGAGGCCAAGTAAGTTGGCGTCGTCTTCTTCTTCTTCTTCTTCTTCTTCTTCTTCTTCTTCTTCTTCTTCTTCCTCTTCCTCTTCCTCTTCCTCTTCCCCTTCCTTTTCTTCTTCTTCTTCCCCTTCCCCTTCCATTTCCCCCTCCTCCTCCTTCCTCTTCTTCTTCCCCTTCTTCTTCTTCTTCTTCTTCTTCTTCTTCTTCTTCTTCCTCTTCCTCTTCCTCTTCCCCTTCCTTTTCTTCTTCTTCTTCCCCTTCCCCTTCCATTTCCCCCCTCCTCCTCCTTCCTCTTCTTCTTCTTCTTCTTCTTCTTCTTCTTCTTCTCCTCCTCCTCCTCCTCCTCCTCCGGGGAAGACAACTTGAAAAGTTAAAACCACCTGATTTTTACACAAAAGCTGAAGGCAGGCAACTTAGCAATAGTTTTGGGCCATAATGAAAACCATGCCATAAGGAGGCCGGGGACTAGGAGTGGGGGAGAGAAACGAAGGTTTATGAGAAGAAACAGGTTCCCCTGGAATGTGGCTGATGTAGCAAAACATCTAAATGGAAACTGCTAATTTGCCTAATTGATTTAAATTAATGGGGAGATTGCAACAGTGCTTCTTTCTCAGCGTAAGCTATAAAACCGTGCGCTGCTGGCTTGCGACCCAGGTATGTGTGGCCTTGGAATGTCATTGTTCATCGGATAACTGTTACAAGCTGTAGCGCCACATTCCAACACTTTGCTGTAACTGCTTGAGCACCGAAACTCATGTTCCTAGATTGGGTTGCAAGATTCTCCTCCCCCTTCCCTTCTCCGCAGCAATGCGACTCTTGACTAAATATCCCCTAGACTTGCATGAGGTTTGCAACACGTATGCCATTTGTTCCATGTGTGTAGCTTGCATGATGCAAACTGACAAAAACCCTACTTCTAAACAAAACGTGAATCAACTAACAGTGCAGTAGTAGTAGTAAGTATTATTATTATTATTATTATTATTATTATTATTATTATTATTTATACCCCACCCATCTGGGCGGCTCCCAACAGAATATCAAAAACAAAATAAAACATCAAATATTAAAACCTTCCCTAAATAGGGTTGCCTATGAATATCAAAATAATTCCAGTTACTGAGACCCCCGGGTATAGGGCGGTATATAAATTCAAATTCAAATTATAATAATATCCAAATTTATACAATTTAATCAAAGTGGTTTCCCACGCTCCTTGATCAATGTTTTTTGTCCAGTTCTTTTACCTCAGTTTTAGAACCTAGGTTTTAGAATGTAATCTGTTCCGGAAGACCGTTCAACTTCCAAAATAATCGAAAACCAAAGCATAAATTTCTGGAAACATTTACATCCAGAAAACTCAATACGGAAGCCGCGTGGCACATTCAGCTTCCAAAATGCATTCGAAAACTGAAGCAGTTACTTCCGGGTTTTCGGCATTCGAAAGCCGAAACATTCGACTTCCAAGACGCTCAAAAACCGAGGTTCTACTGTATTGCTGTGGTTCATATTTTTTATTAACTTCTAATTACATTTCAGTTGGCATATTAATCATATTAAGCTGCTATCTTAAACAGCTGCATTTTTAGCAATTACTATTCGTGTTAATACCTTATCTAACTTTCCATAGGATTTCAAATGAGGTGCTTTAATTATTTTCCTTTTCCCTGTGTGTCAATCTGAATATGTAGAGTTATAAAGTCCTTGGCCTTTGTCTGCTGTCCAATTCTTGAAATTCCTCCAATTGCTGTTTTCTCTCAGTGTAGCTGAGGTGGGGCTATAATCCTGGAGAATTTTCAACATATCTCATTAGCTCCCTTCCATTGTGCTCTCATCTTGCTCGGTGTTTCCAGACAACAACATACTCCAACATAGTCCACTCATTCTCCCTATTCAGTCAACATCTAGAAATTTCCACAGCCCGAGAAGGAGAGATCCAGCTTCTGCCTACCTCGTCCATGGCTCCAAATTCCTTTCATCTTTACAACTGCATTTTGGGCAAAGTCCACTTAAGTTGTATCTCTTCTCTGTTGTTTTAAGGGGGGTACAGATGGTATCCACTCTAATTATCCAAGATAATCCATTCCAGCATTAGAGCTCTCCCGTCATCTCTTTAAACCACACCCAGCTAACTGTTCTTTTAATCATAAATCTTATTCCATACTGCAATTCAACCTCATTTGTATCTTTAAAATTTTGTATCTGGAGATGGTTGCTGAATCATTAGTAAAGAAACTCAAAGTAAACAGGGAACCAGAGGCTCCCCTCTCTGCCATCCACTTCCTACGCCGAATAAAATCTTTTTCTCAGTTCCAAATCTCAGATCAATGCAGCTGGGTAATCCCGCAGTTCTGAGTACACCTTTCCTCGGAGCTTGCCTGACTTTAAAGCCTATTAAAAATCCAATTAACAGGAGAATCTCTGCTTCTGAATGGTGGTGTAGGAGGGTTTTTGCCAGGCAAAGTGCTTTTACACTCAGCGCCTCCCTGCCCCCCCCCCCCGCATTCCATGGTACCGGGATGGACTGCGAGTGAAGCCCGTTCCTCCCTTCCCTGGAAAGAAATTCCAAGAATGATTTACCCTCTATCATTCTTGGTTTTCTTCTCCTTTGATTCCCGCAATGTCATGAGGGCTGCTTCCATTAAAGCAGATAGGAACCAGAAACCTTGCCTTAGTTTATTACAGCACAAGTTTACAAAATCAAAAATAACAAGCAAACTTTATATGTAAATAGACATGGAAATTGCTTTGTACTGTACGCTGTTTCCTTATTGACTGGTTTATACTTGGTGCTGTCCCCACAGATACCCCATTGTTTTCCTTCGTTCTTTGTTTGTTGACTGTGTAAGATGTTGGTTGTTAGAAGAAGAAGAGTTTGGATTTGATATCCCGCTTTATCACTACCCGAAGGAGCCTCAAAGCGGCTCACATTCTCCTTTCCCTTCCTCCCCCACAACAAACACTCTGTGAGGTGAGTGGGGCTGAGAGACTTCAAAGAAGTGTGACTAGCCCAAGGTCACCCAGCAGCTGCATGTGGAGGAGCAGGGAAGCGAACCTGGTTCCCCAGATTACAAGTCCACTGCTCTGAACCACTACACCACACTGACTCAGTTAGAAACTGCCCATATACACTAAAGCTGCAGTGCTAGCCATGTATACTCAGAAGTATTTCCCATTGAACTGAGTGCAGCTTACTCCCAGTTAAGTGTGGTTAGGATTGCAGCCTCTGTCCACTTCCTACTTCAAATATTAAAATCTAATGGAATGCATTGTTCAGAATTATTCTTTTCCTATGGAAAGCAGTGATCTCTTTTGTTACCTGTAGACTGAGTTTAAAACCTGAGCCAAAATGGGGAGAACCATCTGGATTTGACTGCTCATTTGTTTACCGTCTTTCCACCAAATCTTTGTTTCAAAAGTTTTGTTTTAAAAGTGTCCTTGCACTTCTCCCAACCAAACCCCGATAGAATTGAAAAAAAACCAATGGAACACATCATTCATTATTGTTGTTTTTCACATGGCAGGAATACATTGGAACAAAATAAAGAGGATTTTAAACTGTCAAATACAAAATCATGTTTACCAGAAACATTTAAAACATAAATCAGCTTTAGTGTTTTGTTTCAACAGATGCACACATGACTATTTTTGGTATAAAATACAACTTTATGGCATAAAATGTTGCAGTGAAATGGACTTAAATGTGGTTATGTAAAATAGGCTGCAATTGAAACCCCACTTACCAGGGAGTGTGCCTTATTGAATGAGACTTATTTCTGATAGGCAAGGTTAGGATTGCAGCTATAGATGGCTTTGTAATGGGCTGTTGGACACTTTCTCTCTCTCTCGCATTATTTTTAAGATTCCATAAGACTCTTTGATGTTTTGGTTACAGCAGTCTAACAGGGCCACCCTTCTGGAAATTCATTAATTCTGAAAAGGAACACACAAGAATGCAATTGAATTGTAAATATCTTTTGATGGATGAGATACGCATGTCTATTGTGTGTTTTGATATATGCAAAAAACCTGCTTCACACTGACGAACACCTGCCCACCCGCCCTTTATTTTAGATGTCCTCTGGCCTTGCTTTGGACTTTGGTTGGTTGCCTGTCTTAGGACGGGGGCCAGGTAGGCATTTTTCCATTTGGGTGGCACTGTGGTCTAAACCACTGAGGCTTGGGCTTGCCGATCGGAAGGTTGGCGGTTCGAATCCCCGCAACTGGGTGAGCTCCTGTTGCTCGGTCCCTGCTCCTGCCAACCTAGCAGTTTGAAAGCACGTCGAAGTGCAAGTAGATAAATAGGTACCGCTCCGACGGGAAGGCAAACGGCGTTTCCGTGTGCTGCTCTGGTTCACCAGAAGCGGCTTAGTCCTGCTGGCCACATGACCTGGAAGCTGTACGCCGGCTCCCTCGGCCAATAAAGCGAGATGAGCGCCGCAACCCCAGAGTGGGTCACGACTGGACCTAATGGTCAGGGGTCCCTTTACCTTTACCTTTACCACTGGCCACTTGGTTTTGGCCTACCTCTTAGCAATCGTCACAACTTTGTAAGGTTTGGCGGTTAGGCACTGGTTCATTGATTTGTGGGGGAGGGGAAGTCAGCCACCGCCCACCCCTCCATTGACCAAGGGTATTCCGTTAAAGGAATCCAGGGCCTGGATCCTGTCCGAAGTCTGCTTGAGGGGCTAGGTCCATGCCACGCCTCTGGGGACACTGAGGAGAGCTACAAGTGGGTTCCCCCGATGTGGCTTTCTCTTTGGGTGGTTTACCTTTACTGACTTCCTGCAAAGGGGCAGGAGTCTGATATAGTCCTTTGCCAATGCCTAAGCCAATACCGCTCACATGTCTGTAATCAATAAAGTTGTGGCCTAAAATTTGCCCAATAACCTTAAACCAAAATTCTGTGTCAGTGTGAATTTTATTCTAATGAGGGGCTGGTTTGGGAGCCTTGTCACGCAATACTCTTTGAAGTTTTTGTTACAGCAGTCTAACAGGGCTACCCTTCTTGAAATTTATTAATTCTGAAAAGGAAAACACAAGAACGCAATTGAATTGTAAATATCTTTTGATGGATGAGATACACATGTCTATGGTGTTTTTTGATGTATGCAAAAACCCCAAAATATATATTTCCACATCAGTGAACAACAAAGCAAAGGGAAGACTTCTGCAAAATAAACCAATTGGGTACAATACCCAAGTGGAAGTGTGAATCAATGTTAGAATGGATTGAAACACTTTTGCACATCCCTATAAAACTGTTAACTTTTTTTTTTTTAACACACTGTGTATGTGGAGGAGGGAAGGAGTTGATTGTTGGAATGGAAAGTAAGGGAGAGACAACCAGAGTTGCAACTATTAAAAGCAGCAACTTTGAGACTTTGAAAAACTTTGCTGCCCATTTCCTAAAGTGCTTTGATCAGAGAAGCCCTTGTTTTCTTTGTTATGCCTAGGGTTTTTGTTCCTATCAGAAAGCGAATTCTTATTTCTCCACTAGCATTAAAGGAGCAGCATATTGAAATCTTGCTGCCAGGCTTGGCAAGATGGAAATGAAGGATTCCCACAACAAGTGTTTGAACAGCATATTTGATCCAATAGCGAGGTGGCATAGGCAGAGCATCATTGCTTACCTGGATATAGGGATGCAGGTGATGCTGTGGTCTAAACCACTGAGCCTCTTGGGCTTGCCGATCAGAAGGTTGGTGGTTCAAATCCACACAACGGGGTGAGCTCCTGTAGCTTTGTCCCAGCTCCTGCCTACCTAGAAGTTCAAAAGCACGCCAGTGCAAGTAGATAAATAGGTACTGCTGCGGCGGGAAGGTAAGCAGCATTTTCATGCATTCTGGTTTCCGTCACGATGTCCCGTTGCGCCAGAAGCAGCTTAGTCAGGCTGGCCACATGACCCGGAAAGCTGTCTGCAGACAAACGCCGGCTCCCTCGGGCTGAAAGTGAAATGAGCGCCACAACCCCATAATTGCCTTTGACTGGACTTAACTGTCCAGGGATCCTTTACCTTTTACCTTTACCTACCTTTTGTGTACAAATAAATGTGTGTTGATGCATTACATTGTTATTATAGACCTCTGGTAAGGGAACCTAATATACAGGAACAGAAGAATAAAAGTTAAGAAACCCCAGTCTGGTCCAAGGTGGAAAGGACCTAATTCTCATGAACATGGTGAGCAATGTGTTGGCGTGCCAGGCAGTGTCTCCTTGTTATTCAGGTGGACAGCAGTTGTGGGCTGGTACATTGGCCAGTTTCTCTCTCCTTCAGCATCAGCATGACATCACAGTGGCCTGTGTCTCTCTTTCGGGTTGGACACATCAATGTGAGAACACAGTGGCCAGTCTGTGAAATAGGCAGCATCAGCATGAGATCACAGTGGCCAGTTTTTCTCCCTCAGGTGGCTAGCATGGGCCACAGTGGGCAGCCCCTGTCCTTCAGGCAGGGAGCATCATCTTGTGGGGAGAGGCATTCATTCATCTTCATTCCTCTTCCACTCAGGCAGGCAGTAGCATGTGGGCAGAATATTTACTGCTCTGCGGAAGCTGCCAAAAGCAGGTACATGTCAGCACAATCTCTTTCTCAGTGAGGTGGGCTTAGTTGGGAGCAGATGTGGACTCTGTATGTTCTTCTCTTAGTGAGGTGGTCAGCAGATGTATGAGTGTAGTGGTCATCTCACCAAAATGGGCAGCAGCATGTGGACAGAGAAGCAGCAGGCAAGGCAAAGAGCAGGCAAGTAGGCAATCCATCTATTACAGGGCCTCTCTGCTTACAGGAAGTGGACACGGGTGGTGCTGTGGTCTAAACCAGTGCAAGTAGATAAATAGGTACTGTTGCGGTGGGAAGATAAAAAGTAATTCCATGCACTCTGGTTTCCATCACGGTGTTCCGTTGCACCAGAGGCAGTTTAGTCATGCTGGCCACATGACCCAGAAAGCTGTCTGTGGTCAAACGTTGGCTCTCTCAGCCTGAAAGTGAGATGAGCGCCGCAACCCCATAGTCGCCTTTGACTGGACTTAACTGTCCAGGGGTCCTTTACCTTTACCTTGTACCTTAACTGGGTTCTCAATGCCTCGTGTCACTTCTAGTTACCAAGAAGGAGAAAGGAGAAGCAGTGGGGAGTGGTAGGAACATTGGATAGGGTCCACTGCTCTGCTTGGACTGCAGCCATCTGCCCACTGCCTCAACTTTTCTCCACTCAGTAACTGGCAGCCATTTGCAGCATCGGCAGGTCAGGTAAGTAACACCAGCCTCTCAGGCCCTACTGATTTCAACCTCGGAAAGCACAGTAAGAGAAGGAAATTCTTGAGAAAATTGCTTGAGTGGTGCATTTAATCCCAATGGCTGCAGCTCAATGTCTGTGATGGGCCTTAATGACTTCAATCAATCTCAGAGATAATTGTATGGAAACAAACATGGTTGCCCCCATGGAAAAACCAGAGGCCACCATGTTTCTTTCCTACAGTTTCCTCAAAGTGCACAGCATCAAGGAGCCCCATACGTTGTAGTAATGATGATGATGATGATGATGATGATAATACAGTAGTGCCTCGCAAGACGAAATTAATTCGTTCCGCGAGTTTTTTCGTCTAGCGAATTTTTCGTCTTGCGAATCACGAATTCCCATAGGAATGCATTGAAAATCAATTAATGCGTTCCTATGGTCAAAAAAAGTCCAAACAAAGCCAAATTTGGTACAACAACCTCCCCAACTGTTGCAAACCCCTCCCCAACTGTTCCCCCAGCCCCTCCCCAACTGTTGCAAACCCCTCCCCAACTGTTCCCCCAGTCACCCAGCACACAGAAATTCAAATCCAGAATTTTTTTAAAAAAACAGAGTGGCCCAGTGGTCACAGAAAATCATAAAAATGCAGAAAAAAACACACAAGCTTCCAGATTCCTGCAAACCCTCCCCAACTGTTCCCCCAGCCACCCAGCACACAGAAAATCAAAAACAGAATTTTAATTAAAAAAAAGCAGAGTGGCCCAATGGACACAGAAAATCATAAAAATGCAGAAAAAAACCACACAAGCTTCCAGATTCTTGCAGACCCCTCCCCAACTGTTCCCCAGCCACCCAGCACACAGAAATTCAAATCCAGAATTTTTTAAAAAACAGCAGAGTGGCCCAATGGTCACAGAAAATCATAAAAATGCAGGAAAAAACCACACAAGCTTCCAGATTCTTGCAAACCCCTCCCAACTGTTCCCCAGCCACCCAGCACACAGAAATTCAAATCCAGAATTTTTTTTAAAAAACAGCAGAGTGGCCCAATGGTCACAGAAAATCATAAAAATGCAGAAAAAAACACACAAGCTTCCAGATTCCTGCAAACCCCTCCCCAACTGTTCCCCCAGCCACCCAGCACACAGAAATTCAAATCCAGAATTTTTTTAAAAAACAGCAGAGTGGCCCAATGGTCACAGAAAATCATAAAAATGCAGAAAAAAACCACACAAGCTTCCAGATTCTTGCAGACCCCTCCCCAACTGTTCCCCCAGCCACCCAGCACACAGAAATTCAAATCCAGAATTTTTTTAAAAAAACAGCAGAGTGGCCCAATGGTCACAGAAAATCATAAAAATGCAGGAAAAAACCACACAAGCTTCCAGATTCTTGCAAACCCCTCCCCAACTGTTCCCCCAGCCACCCAGCACACAGAAATTCAAATCCAGAATTTTTTTTAAAAAAACCAGCAGAGTGGCCCAACGGTCACAGAAAATCATAAAAAATGCAGAAAAAAGACACACAAGCTTCCAGATTCTTGCAAACCCCTCCCCAACACCAAGTCCTTGAATTCCAAACACCCCAACCCAAAATCCAAAAACCCCCCCAAAATTTTTAAAAGCTTAACTTGGCTGCAAAAGAAGTTATGGAATAGCTTCAAAAATCACCAAAGTCTTTAAAAACCTCAAAAAAGGCTACTATGTACACTGCGTTCTATGAGTTGCTCCTCGAAGTCAAGTCGCAACTGTATTAATGGTGTTAAGAAAAAGGAAACAAACTTGCAAGACGTTTCGCCTTGCGAAGCAAGCCCATAGGGAAATTCGTCTTGCGAAGCAGCTCAAAAACGGAAAACCCTTTCGTCTAGCGAGTTTTCCGTCTTGCGAGGCATTCGTCTTGCGGGGCACCACTGTAATAATAATAATAATAATAATAATAATAATAATAATTTATTATTTATACCCCATCCATCTGGCTGCGTTACCTCAGCCACTCTGGGCAGCTTAGAGCAAAATATTAATATACAATAATTCATCAAATATTAAAAGCTTCCCTAAACAAGGTTGCCTTCAGATGTCTTTTAAAAGTCAGATATTTATTTCCCTGACATCTGAAGGGAGGGTGTTCCACAGGGCGGGTGCCACAACTGTGAAGGCCCTCTGCCTGGTTCCCTGTAACTTCGCTTCTCACAGTGAGGGTACGCCAGAAGGCCCTTGGAGCTGGACCTCAGTGTCCGGGCAGAACGATGGGGGTGGAGATGCTCCTTCAGGTATACAGGACCGAGGCCGTTTAGGGCTTTAAACGTCAGCACCAGCACTTTGAATTGTGCCCGGAAGCGTACTGGGAGCCAATGTAGGTCTCTCAGGACCGGTGTTATGTGGTCTTGGCAGCCACTCCCAGTCACCAGTCTAGCTGCTGCATTCTGGATTAGTTGTTGCTTCCGGGTCACCTTCAAAGGTAGCCCCACGTAGAGCACATTTCAGTAGTCCAAGCAGGAGATAACTAGAGCATGCACCACTCTGGCGAGGCAGTCTGCGGGCAGGTAGGGTCTCAGCCTGCGTGCCAGATGGAGCTGGTAGACAGCTGCCCTGGAAACAGAACGCTAGCCACTCCAGTTAGCTTCATGACCTGTTTGGGTTTTTTTAAAAAATGCAATGGGGGGGGGACCTGTTGCATGTGTAGAGGCAGTGCTGAAGCTCTTGGACCACTATTGCAGTGTTTTTAAAACCTTCATATTCCCATGCAGATTTTAAAGGATTTTCTCTTGAAAAATCTCACAGAAACAGGATCAACAATGCCATCTCTAGAAGGGACTGCCTTTAATGGGTCCATCCATTCCTCCCCTTGGGGGTGTTTTTTCACAGAGCTTTGTTTCCCAAAAGGGGACCATTCATTTTAAGGGGCACCCTCTAAAGTGGACTCAGTGGTGTTGGCATTTAGTTTTTAAAACAGACTCAGCAATAGCAAAATATAGGGAATCGTTTCTGTTCTGAATCACCACATTCATAGCGTGACCTAGAGCAGTGGTGGCTAAACTTGGCCCTCCAGCTGTTTTGGGACTACAAATCCCATCATCCTTGACCACAGGTCCTATTAGCTAGGGATGATGGGAGTTGTAGTCCCCAAACAGCTGGTGGGCCAAGTTTGGCCATGCCTGGCCTAAAGCGACCTGCCCATCCTTTACATGAGATATACTGAGAAGATGAAACCATGAAACTTCATGAACAGAACCTGCAAAAGCAAGATGCCTGAGAAATATTTGGGTACAGATGTTTGTACCAGTCATCACACTCTTTGGATTTGATTAGTAATAACAAAAACAGCGTATCGTTTCACTCGATTGCTTGATTCAGTTCTAAAGTAATATTTGTCATCTTTACAAAGGTTAGAGATTTTATTTAAAAATTTATGTGGCAAAACCAGGGACTTTAAAAAATGCAACATGATGTTAAAAGGGCATAGCTGCAGAACCACTAATTTGCAAGTTGCTGCGAGAGATGTGCCCCTGGGGTATAACAATATCCTGATACAGAAGAATAATTATGCAATATCCTGAACCACATTGATATGAAATAGTAAAATCTAAAAAAAAAAAAAAAAAAAGCATTTAAAATGTTGTGCTATTTTATGTCCACGTATGCCCTTATACTTTTTTATTTGTGTCATTGCCATTTTTATATTCTTTTTCATATATAGAAATATCATTTTTGAAATATTTACTTTTTTGGTAGTTTGATAGCACTGTGTAAAATTACTTTTTGTGAGCAAAGAAATGGACTGCCTTTGGTATGTTACTTACATGGCTGGTTATGCATGTTTGTTAAGTTTACGTTTATCTTCCCGTGTTTCGATAGAAAGCTTGATTTCATATCCATTTTCCTTGGTTATGAAGTGTCCGACTCCACACATCATAACTCACATTTATATTGGCTTCTATTGCACCTCATAATATGCTGAATTTCCTTCTCACTCTGGTTATAACGAGTCTCACATCACATCAGTGTATAATGCTTTTTGGTTTGTAAAATGTTAGTATCCCAGATTAACGAGTCTCTCATCACATTTTACATTAGCTCTACTGGTTTCAGTTATGCATTGTAATTCAATAAATTCCATGTTTTAAATCACTGTATGATTTTATTGCCTCCTTTTGCACACTGTAACATAATAGTGGGCTTTCATGTACGTGTGTGCATATACGCGCAGAATGTGGTATATTTCCAGCTCTTATATACTAAGGACAGTGAAGTTTTCAATGGCCAAACATCATGTTTGCTTGTTTTGCATGCCTTCGAACGACACTGCAAATCCTGTTGGCTTATCCTGGAGCAATAGTTGTGAAATCATATCATATTATACATATCATCATATTGTCAAATTTAGCAACTGATGATGGACATCATATCTCAGCAGAACTCTCATACTTTCTAATCCTTCTGCATGTTTCTGGAGTAAGTCCTCCATACGGACTACAATTCCCATTGTCCCTGATCCTTGGTCATGCCAGCAGGGAATTGGAATCTAACAACATCCAGAGGATCACATTATGAGTCATGTGACAAGTGGAGGTGCATGTGCAATTTGCATGGAAGACCGCTTAGGTCCATGGATCTCTCCTGCTGGAATAAGATACAGGTGTTTGCTTGTGCAACTGGGTATATGTCACTAGAGTTGTAACAACCTAGCCCTCATTTGCCTTCACAGGTATGGACAAAGGGTTTAAGAACTAAGTTCATACCAAGGATCATAAAGACTAGTGGAATGGACTTCCTCAGGAGGTGGTGGGCTCTCCTTCCTTGGAGGTTTTTAAGCAGAGGTTGGATGGCCACCTGTCATGTATGATTTAGTTGAGATTCCTGCATTGCAGGGGGTTGGACTAGATGACCCTCGAGGTCCCTTCCAACTCCACAATTCTAGGATTCTATGGAGTTGTTGGAAGCAGCAGCAAGTAGTCCATTAAAAGCAACCCCTGCCTGATGATGCAGCAAACAGCCTCTGCTTGAAGACCTCCAGCAACTAAGAGCCCACCACACATCTAGGTCAGATGTTCTCAAACTGTGCTCCGCCGACCACTTGTGGTCTACAAATGCCATTCAGGTGGTCCATAGAAAGGTTGCAGAATAGTTCATAAAACTTATTGGTCACAGTTTGTCAGTGATGCTTGTAAGGGCTTCAATGGGTGGAGCTGCCCATGGAGCAGATGCAAATATGTAACTCTTAAGGAAAAGAAAATAACATTGTGTTTAGGGAAAATACTAGCCTGGTTGCATCCCTGCTAGTTGTGCAAATGGTCCTCAGCTCATATGACTTGTTTCTATCATTGTTACGTGTCTAAGGAGGAAGGAGTTTGAGAACCACTGCTCTAGGTTCTATTGTTGAACTGTTCTCACCATTTAAAAGTTTCTCCTAATGTTCAACCATAATCTGCCTCCTGTAACGTACGCTCATTAGCTTCTTCTGACACTTCTTCAGGTATAGGAAGAGCAGTAACATGTCTTCTCAACTCTGCTAAGAATACCCAGAACATACATGAACTTCATCTTCTATTATTTTTGTGATACTGCACTTAGTATATAAGTGCTAACATGGATCATTGTTGCACTGATTGATATTATCATTTAGAAAAAAAGTGCTGCTGATATTGATGATAAATAACAGTATCAATCAACACAAGGACCTTCCAAGGTAGGTCAGTATGATTGCACTGGCAGTACGGATGAGGAAGAAGGAGATAACTCACTTGTGAGTTCATAGTGGAGCTGAAATTCAAACCAGATAGTTACTGATTTGCGGTGTGATTTTTTAGCCATTCTGCTACACTCGGTTTCCATCAAAACTACTAAAAAAAGTTCCACATCTTTGGCTATCCTGGCAGTCATGTGAGCCAGAAGAGTTTACCCTGAATTTAATCCAAACACTTCTGATCAAAATGTTTTTAGTGTAGAACCACTGGGAACAGTTCTAGTGATGTCTACTACAGGTTTGTCTGTAAACCCTATGAGTGGAGTTGATTTCAAAGGAAAGTCGAAGAAAGCTTTTCTCCAGTGCTGCTGATGGACCACTTTGATGGAGGTGAATTTTTAGGCAACCTGATGAAGTTTTATTCAGACCAGGTGTGAACTGTGTGCGTGTTGTTGGGGTGGGGGTGGGGAGACACGACAAGGAAGCAGTTATCACTGTAAGTGTAAAGAAAAATAAAACATTCATCCTATTGTCATCAGGAGGAGAATGGTATTGGAATCAGTTTGAGGCTACAACATAGTTATAAGACCCAGAGAATCACTGAAAACTTTGAATCCTGTGCCCTGTGTGTTTTCCAGGAGACACATGAGTCATAACTGAGGTGGGGAGGGTTCAGGTTTTCACCTTTAAAGCCCTAAACGGCCTCAGCTCAGTATACCTGAAGGAGCGTCTCCACCCCCATCATTCTGCCTGGACACCGAGGTCCAGTGCTGAGGGCCTTCTGGCGGTTTCCTCCCTGCAAGATGTGAGGTTACAGGGAACCAGGCAGAGGGCCTTCTCGGTAGTGGCACCCGCCCTGTGGAATGCCCTCCCATCAGATGTCAAGGAAATAAACAACTATCTGACTTTTAGAAGACATCTGAAGACAGCCTTGTTTAGGAAAGTTTTTAATGGTTGATGTTTTATTGTGTTTTTAATATTTTGTTGAAAGCTGCCCAGAGTGGCTGGGGAAACCCAGGGGTAACAACATCAACAACAACTTCTAGCCATGCCCTCTCACCAATCCCCACACATTCCAAGGTCCAATTTACATCTTACAAAAAGGGAGTCTGTGTATATTGGGGAGCATGGACATTGGCTTCTGTGCAGGGCGTTTAAACACAACGAGTTCAGGCATGGCAAGGGACTGGGGCCAGCTGGTGAGATTTAGACTCCCCCCAGATGTGTACACAATAGCTTAGAGAGTTTCTTTGTAGGGTCCATTCCCCTCGACTGGGACCCTCTTGGCAACTATATGCACACCAGTTCTATCAAAAGTTATGGAAGGAAATTTTTCCAACCGAGCATTTTATCCCATTCATTTGTTTCAGTGTTTTCAAATTTGTAAACCACCTAGGGTGCTTTGGCAGAAAACCAACATATAAATAAATAAATAAATACCCCACCTCCTGCCAATAATTATGTGCACATGTACTACTGTGACTGCTGCCTTGAACACAATTCCAAGTGTTGGTGCTGACCTTTAAAGCCCTAAACGGCCTTGGTCCAGTATACCTGAAGGAGCGTCTCCACCCCCATCGTTCTGCCTGGACACTGAGATCCAACTCTGAGGGCCTTCTGGCAGTTCCTTCACTGCGAGAAGCCAAGTTACAGGGAACCGGGCAGAGGGCCTTCTCGGTAGTGGCACCCGCCCTGTGGAACACCCTCCCACCAGATGTCAAAGAGAAAAACAACAACCATACTTTGAGAAGACATCTGAAGGCAGCCCTGTTTAGGGAAGCTTTTAATGTTTGATGTATTACGGTATTTTAATATTTTTTTGGAAGCTGCCCAGAGTGGCTGGGGAAGCCCAGCCAGATGGGTGGGGTATAAATAACATTATTATTATTATTATTATTATTATTATTATTATTATTATTTCCTTATGGTAGAGAAATGATAAGATATCTGATGAATGATCTAACGTTTTGCCCCAGCAAGTAGATTGCAAAGGGTAATGGCATTGTGTGAGGAATAATTAAGGGATAAAGGGAGTTTCAGGGAAAGGTGCCAGAAAATTTCCTTGCTCTTGTTCTTGGGCTCTGCTTGAGGGTTTGCGGGGGCATCTGGTTGGCCACTGTGAGAACAAGATGCAGGACTAAAAGGGCCACTGGCTTGATCCAGCAGGCTCTTATGTTCTTATATTTTGGAGAGCCAAAGTAGACCGGGCAAATCTAGGTGGACCAATGGTCTATTTCAGTATAACACATGTTCATAGGTTTCCAGACAAGGTATCAAACTGGTGCCTTTTTGAAATTCAATGGTGTTTTTATACCCTAAGTTAGAGGTGAGCTACAAATTGCACTCTTTGGCTACCAAACAGGTGATCAAGACATCTGAATGCCATCTTACGGCCAAATTTGAACAAGTGACAGAATGGGATAATTGGCAGTTTGGAGAGCCCATGCTCTGCTCAGCTCGTCTAGAATAATGATGACTTCTTACTGAAGCTGCCCTAAACATCAAAGCTGACAGGGAAGATCCAGAATCAGCGTGATGAATTGGTTTCAAAAGGACTGGAGCAAATTTATACTTTATATGAAAGAAAATTGTAAACAGTTGAAAACGTTTGTAGGTTTGAGTTGAAATGTTTGGTAATGGGAAAATGAGCTGATTTACATACAAGAAGGTGAATGCTAAAAGTTTGACTTAAGGTAAAAAAGTGGATATAGGAATGTGAAGAAATTGGTAAAGTTGTGTGGAAGTCAGTTAGAGGGAGGGAAGGAGGTTGATGCTTTATTTAAGCAATGCTTTAAGTTATGGATTTTTGATTTTTGATATGGAAATGTAATGAAATATGGAAAACTTAATAAAAATCATATTAAAAAAAAAGAAGCTGCCCCAAACATAGAAGGGAAAAGGACTGGAGGGGCATGAACCAGTTTCCTTGCTCCCTACGGTCCATGTACCTTTGGAAAGAAGGAATCTGTTATTTCCTGAATCTTCCTCAGCAGAGCAGCTATTTGCTACAGGGGAAGGAGTTATTGCAACTGGCTGGGCTACCTCTTCCCATTATTCCTTCCGATGTCATGGACTGGCTGGATGCGGAAGAGTGGAGGAACCAGCAGGAGAACCCCCAAAGGAAGAAGACTCAAAGCTAGGGGATTGCTGGTGGGAAGATGACAAGTGGTCAGAGGGAGAAGACTGAAGAAGTAACAGGGTTTAGTGAGCAGGAGAGCAATCCAGAACCAGAGGCAGAAGAGGAGGCTGGAGAGGAGAGAGGCCAAGAGGCAGAGATGAATCAGGCTGGTGAGGAAACCAGCCTGTTACTCCCTCTTGCTGTGACCAACTCCCCTCCCAACTGGTGTCCTACAACCTGAAGAGGTATGAAGAGGACAGAGCAAAGACAAGCAAAATGATGGAGCCTCAGATTGCTTGGGAAGAAACCAGGGAAAGGGGAGACGTAGAGAGCTGTGGGAAGGCAGAGACCTTCAGTCTCCACAACTGCCTCATAGGGGCAAGATCTACCCAGAAGAATTGCTGTGCTCTCTCGGTTCTAGGCCTCCTGAGCTGTCTTGTTCCTTTGAATAAAGAGTTAATTTCATTGACACCCTGTGAGTTATTGCTGACCTGTTCCTGGCACCTGCTCCTGAAACTTACAGCAAAGAAATGGACGTAGTGCTTTCCATTTGTTCTGACAAAATGTGGTTACGGCCACCATCTTGACTGGCTTTCAGAGGGATCAGAGAAACTAAAGGACGATGTGGCTATCAAGTCATGATGGCTACAGGCTGCTCCCAGGATCAGAGGCTCCAGGACTCTGAATACAAGTTGCTGTGAAATGTCAGGAGGAGAGGGCTGTTGACCTCATCTCCTGCTTATGGGCTACCCATGGCACCTGGTTGGCTACCCTGGCAAAGAAGATGCTGGACCAGAGAGGCCTTTGTTTTGATCCAGTGGGCTCCTCTTATGTTCTTATTGGATCTAGCAGCTGGGAGGGATGGATCAGAGCTGTGCTTGCACAGGAAGAAGAAGAAGAAGAGTTTGGATTTGATATCCCGCTTTATCACTACCCTAGAATCATAGAATCATAAAATCATAGAATCATAGAATCATAGAGTTGGAAGAGACCACAAGGGCCATCGAGTCCAACCCCCTGCCAAGCAGGAAACACCATCAGAGCACTCCTGACATATGGTTGTCAAGCCTCTGCTTAAAGACCTCCAAAGAAGGAGACTCCACCACACTCCTTGGCAGCAAATTCCACTGTCGAACAGCTCTTACTGTCAGGAAGTTCTTCCTAATGTTTAGGTGGAATCTTCTTTCTTGTAGTTTGGATCCATTGCTCCGTGTCCGCTTCTCTGGAGCAGCAGAAAACAACCTTTCTCCCTCCTCTATGTGACATCCTTTTATATATTTGAAGATGGCTATCATATCACCCCTTAACCTCCTCTTCTCCAGGCTAAACATGCCCAGCTCTCTTAGCCGTTCCTCATAAGGCATCGTTTCCAGGCCTTTGACCATTTTGGTTGCCCTCCTCTGGACACGTTCCCTAAGGAGTCTCAAAGCGGCTGGCAATCTCCTTTCCCTTCCTCCCCCACAACACTCTGTGAGGTGAGTGAGGCTGAGAGACTTCAGAGAAGTGTGACTAGCCCAAGGTCACCCAGCAGTTGCATGTGGAGGAGCAGGGAAGTTCACCAGATTACGAGTCCACCGCTCTTAACCACTACACCACACAGGGGTGAGTTACCCACAAATCTTTTGGATGCAGGGCAGGGATAGGCAGGTGGATGTAGCTTGCAGAAAAATCATTTCAAAGTGAGCAGTCAGAAATCGTTTGAAAGGGCAGAAGACCTTGCAGAATGTACGAGGCCCATGGAAGTCCATGCAATGTCTTAGGGAACCAAATGCAAAGAATTGTTACAGAATCACCTCTGTCCAGATGTGGAACTTGCTTATATTAAGGTTCTCATAACCACATCTACTGCCCTTCTTCCTGAGCAATGCATGGAGTTTACTTTCCTGCTCCTGCCACCTGCAACCCTCTCTTGGCCACTCAGGTTGCTTGCTGGCATTTCCCAGATAACCTATCCATCCACTCTCTGGTTCTGCCTCAGCCTCACACTAGGTTTGCAAGCCACTGGGGAACATCATCGTATGTCTGCAATTTGGCAGGCTACCAGCGCATCTGGATGCCACATTTCTCTTCAACATGAACAGGAGATAGAGTGAGATAATGGGCTGTTCAGGGGAGGGCATGCATGCCTCTAAAGCAATCTCGACATGGAAATGGGATTAGATGATTGGGAATAATGTAAATCAGTGATGTTCTGAAACCAGACTCATATATTGCCGGGGCTTTGATGGATAGGGTGGAAAGGAGTCATTGACACCCCTCTCTTTGAACACCCTACTCATCAGCATACTGTGCAAACGGACTTTCCAGGAACATTCCACAGATAATATCAATCTCTCCTCCTGCCTTCAGTTAGTAGAGCCCAAAGGAGAAGAGTTGGCAAACAAAAGCGTTACCTCAGCTTAGAAGTCATGGTGAAAGTGGTAACCCACACCGATTCATGGACCCTTAGGAATGGTGCCTCTTCACCTCTCCTTGTTCACTAACCCCCCCACAAAAAAAGTCTCTCAGCACAACAAACAAATACCTCTGGTTATGAACTTAATTTGTTCTGGAGGTCCATTCTTAAGCTGAAACCGTTCTTATCCTGAGGTGCGCTTTCACTAATGGGGTCTCCCACTGCGCGTGCACCTCTGGCGCACGATTTCCGTTCGCAACCTGGGGCAAAGTTCACAACCAGGAGCAGCTACTTCTGGGTTAGCAGAGCTCGTAACCTGAAGCGTTCGTAACCAGAAGGGTTTGTAAACAGAGGTACCACTGTAGTAACTTTGCCATACAGAAAGCAGTCCTTTGGAGAAGAAAAACAAAAGCCTTTTCGAAAGGAGGCAGCGCACAGTGCCATATTGACTGTGAAGACGGCAGGAAATACTATGGAAATGGTTCTATTGTGGGACTCTGAGGAGGAGCTAAAACTGTGACACAGATGTTATGTCCCTTTTTGGACATATTTGTGACATAGATTTGATAGCTGCTAGGTCACAACTGAATGGAGGAGGGGTAAAACAACAACAACTACTACTAAAAGGTAAAGGAACCCCTGACCATTAGGTCCAGTCGTGGCCGACTCTGGGGTTGCGGCTCTCATCTCGCTTTACTGGCCGAGGGAGCTGACGTACAGCTTCTGGGTCATGTGGCCAGCATGACTAAGCTGCTTCTGGCAAACCAGAGCAGCGCATGGAAACGCCGTTTACCTTCCCGCCGGAGCGTTACCTATTTATCTATTTGCACTTTGACGTGCTTTCAAACTGCTAGGTTGGCAGGAGCAGGGACTGAGCAACGGGAGCTCACCCTGTCAAGGGGATTCGAACCGCAAACCTTCTGATCGTCAAGTCCTAGATTCTGTGGTTTAACCCACAGCGCCACCCGCGCACAAGACCTATAATACTGCTGTGAATTTGCTTAATCCTCCCTGTTTAAGACCATCTAGGCTAATTGCACTGACCCATGGTCTACGAAAAGGAGCACTGGCTGACAGTCAATGAAAAATGTCCCATGGTCCAGCCCACATTATGCACCTTTAAGTATCATTGATTTTAACAGGAGTGCCAAGAATATGCTTAAATTACTCCTACTGAAGTCAGCGGGGCTTAAAAGTGCTCTGATTTGACTAGGTGTTCCTCATGACATTTAATTTGTTCCTTTTGTCCTGAGAGTGACATATGTTGCTGATTTTGGCAGCAAATAACAAGCATAAATAATACTGACGGGGGGAGGGGGGACCTATATACATCAAGAAATTGGCATGTGGATGCATTTAAGAAGGGGATCTGTTCTCTCTGTGTATTTGTAGCCACTCATTAGAAGTAATTACAGTCACATTGGCATCTTGCATTTCAGATCTTTGCACATTTTGATTATTTTGTTTTCAAGCTTTTCTCCTTTGCCAAACACATTTTCTGTCTCCTTATGTCGGAAATATCTCCTGATAATGCTCTCAGATAAATCCCCAGGAATCAGAATTGGTCTGTTTAACTCTATGTTTAGATAAGAATGTGGCATGGCAGAAACTGACACTGGATAGCCAATACTGATTGATTGATTGATTGATTAGGGACCAGCTGTGTCAGGTCACACAACGGCTTCCCATGCCACCTGAAACCGTATCATCAACCCTCTCCTGCTTCTTGCCCTGTTTCCTTTTATCCTGTCTTCTTATGCCATCTTCAGGTTTCCCCCACAATGCAGTTTGCCTCCTGAGGCTAACAGCAACTTCGGCAGTGTTTGGTTTTCCTTGGGATTCCAGCAGCAGGGGAAGGGTTAAAAAAATATCTCCCTGTGTCCCATTATCCTGATTGTTGCCCCGCCCTCAGTGGCTGTTATATGCATGCAAATAGATAGTAGATACATGAAATGCATCCACACATTTCACGCCTAGCTTGGCTTCAAGTGTCTCTTTTTAAAATAACTTGAGATAAAATTAAATGCAGTGCAAACATATAATCTCTTACAACCAAATTTATGGCCCTCTTAGGAACTTACAAAAGGCTGCTTTTGGGCTACTTTTCTTTGCAAATAAAGAACTGCGGGGGAAGCATCTCCACCTGTCATCATATAATGCAATAGTTTATGTATTTATATTATGGCTTGATACCAGTGTTGGCCACGTTTTCCTCGTTTTTATGCCTAGAGGCTAGCTTCCTGGTCTCTGCATATGGCTCAGAGTCAATATCCTAATTACTGGTCATGAGCGGTTTATAAACTGCTTTGAGGTTGCTGTGGTAGGTTTTATGAAATTAACAAATTCATTAATAAATACCCACACCGTATGTTTAAAGCATTCTTATACCATGTTCACAATCATGGAGAATTGTTGATTGGGAACTGTAAGGTCTGTAAGGTTCACACCCTTAAGAAAATCCCAGGATTCCTTGGGGTTATTCCAAGCTTGTTGATACCTCCCTCTTAAGTGCGGATGGTAGTGTTCTGATCAGGAGCAGCATAGGAGAATTGACCACTGTTAACATATATCACATATATATCACATATATAACACAGTGGGTGGCGCTGTGGGTTAAACCACAGAGGACTAGGACTTGCCGATCAGAAGGTCGGTGGTTCGAATCCCTGCGACAGGGTGAGCTCCCATTGCTTGGTCCCTGCTCCTGCCAACCTAGCAGTTCGAAAGCATGT